AGGTGGGGGGGACAGAGCAGCTCGGCGTTTTTTGCCCAGGGACATTGCCCAGGGGGGGCTGGATGGGCACCCCGAGACCAGATGTGCCTGTTGGGGACCCGAGGCAGAGCTGGGCTGGGGGCGCTGGGACCACATCCCAATTTCCCGCATCCCCCAGCCCTGAACACTGCAGGGAGGGGTCCAGCCCCTCTGGGTGCCTGCTGGGGGTCCCTACAAGGTCTCAACCAGCCCCCAGATCCCCAGGGGGAACCTTCAGGGCTTGACCTGGGTTAGGGCCAGGCGCGAGATGCTCCAGCTTGGGAGAGATGAACCCTTGGCAGCACCAGAGCCATTCCCTGTGCCAGGCTGCCTCCCCCAGCCTGGTCCCACCACAGTCCCATGGCACAAGAGCCCCCCCCATTCACCCCCACCTCTCCCCACGCAATTTATTCAATTTTTCACAGGGCACTTGTGTCCAGGCTTCTCGCCGACTTGAAACTGGATCCAGGCCTGAGCCCCAGCAGTGACCTGCTGGCAGCAGCCACTTCGAGCTCGTTTGTTAATAAGCCGGGTGTTATTTCCGCCCTTGGAGCTGTGCCTGGAGATGGGGCTGCAGACGTAAATCCTGACTGATAGCGGGTGGGCTGCTGAAAGCTGCTGGGAAGATGCGTCCATCACGTTGCCGTTCCCTTCAGCACATTCCCGTTCCCTTCAGCACATTCCCGTGCCCCTGGCACCTTCACAGCCTCACCCAGGATGGTGTTAGATGATGCGCCGATGCCGGTGCTGGGCGAGCTCTTGTGGGATGTGGAGGTGGTGCCCTGAGCCCCCCTTCCTTTGTGCCCTGTGCCCTTGTCCCCCTGTCCCTCCCACACAGCGAGTCCTTCTGTGGTCTCTGTGTGACCCACAGTGCCATTTTTCTTCTTTGGGACAGCAGATGGGAATCTCCTGCCACCCATTCCCTGAAACTGTCCCTGCAGGGAGAGCTTGGCTTGTGCCACTGCTGCTCAGCAGGTTAATGATGGGTGACAACATTATCCTTCCTTGGACATCCCCCTCATTAAACTCTAAAGCTTCTGTTAAAAATTAACCTCTGGATAATTTCTAGCCGTTTTCTCACATGAGGCTGCTATTTTCTCATGGCAGAGCTGGGGGCTGTGGGGTGTGACAGGATCTCCCACCACCTTTTGCTGTGTCAGGGACAGGGTTAAACGTTACTTTATTATTTTTTAAGTTTGCAGAACGGGCTGTGCATGCTGTGACCCACCCACTCACTGCTCCCATCTCCCCTCGTTGCACTGGGTTGAAACACAGGCTTCCCAGCACAGCATCCCTGGGGACTCATCCAGAAGTGGGCCAAGGAAGAAGCAGAATTAAAAATAAATGTAAGTGCATCCTGACACGTTAACCACATTTAAAGAGGCTTTAGTACCAACCCACTCTGCAGGAAGGCAGAAAACGCTTGGAGACAAGTAGGTGACAGGACACAGATTGTCCCGAATCAGCAGGA